AGACAGAGTCTCACTCTGTCATCTGGGGTAGAGTGCCATGATGTCATAGCTCACAGCAACCTCAAACTCTTGGCTTTAGTAATCCTCTTGCTTCAGCCTCCTGAGTAGCTGGGACTATAGGCATGGGCCACAACTCCCTGGTAAGCTTTTTTTCTATTTTTAGTAGAAATGAGGTCTCGCTCTTACTCAAGCTGGTCTTGAACTTCTGAGCTCAAGCAGTCCAGTCACCTCAGATTCCCAGAGAGTTGGGACTACAGGCATGAACCTGTATATATCATCTTAAAAAGATATGGCTTGACCGTAAAACCTCACATGAGCCTTTTATACAACCACAGCGGTCTTCAAACATTTTAGTTGTGTCTCCCTAAAGGAATTACCTCCTGACATATTTTAAAGTTGACATCTAAAATTTTTCATTAAAAGTTTGATTGGGGGCTGGGACCAGCCTCAGCGAGAGTGAGAACTCATCTCTACTAAAAACATGAAAAAATAAAAAAAACTAGCAGGGAGTTGTGGCTCAAATTTTATCCTAATATATTTTGTGCTTAACACTACTTTATTATCTCCTTCATATTTCTCACCAGCAAAAATATACATTTAAATTAAAACTTTCAAGTTTCCTTCAGATTGACTGATGGAGACAGGGTCTCGCTCTGTCACCCAGGCAGGCTGAAGTGCAGTGGTGAGACTGTAGCTCACTGCAACCCCAAGGACCATAGGCTTATGCCATCATACCAGGCTAATTGTGAAAAAAGATTTTTTCCTAAAGAGAGTCTTACTCCAGCATTCCTCCTCCAGTCTCCAGCATTCCTCCTACCTCAGCTTTGCAAAGTGTTTGGAGAACCACTACACCCAGTCCTGTTTTATTTTATTTATTTATTTTTAATGTCAGATTCATAGATTCATTGAGATTCAGTCATTGATTTACATGCAGTAAAATTCACTCATGGTCTTATGAATTTTGACAAATACCTACAGTCATGTAACCACAACCAAGATATTGAATCAAAGTATTTTCATCACCCAAAAGATTCTAGTGCCCCTTAGTAAACGTCTCCTTATCCATCTTCTCGAAACCATTAATGAGTTTTTGATCCATAGTTTTGGCTATTTTCCAGAACGTCATATAGACACAATCATTTAACATGTAGCCTTTGAGTCTGGCTTCTTTTAACTCAGCATACTGCCCTCGAGGTTCACTGAAGCTGTTGAACGTGAATCTGTTCCTTTTTGTTAATAAGTAATATTTCATTATATGAATGTTCTGTTGTTTATCCATTCACTAGTTGAAGTTTATTGGCTTGAGTAATCCATGTTTTTGTGTGAACACAAGTTGTCAATATTTTTGCTATGGAGTGAATTAGCCAGACAGAGTGAATTAACTGGGTGCAGTTGCACATGCCTACTTGGGAAGTGGAGGCAAGAGGATTGCGTGAGCCTGTAAGTTCGAGGCGATAGTTAGCTATGATTATGTCACTGCACTCAGTCTGGGCAATAGAGTGACACCCCAACTATTAAAAAAAAAAATAAAGTGGTCTGGGTGCGGTGGCTCACTCCTGTAATCCCAGCATTTTGGGAGTCCCAGGCAGGTGGATTGCTTGAGGTCAAGAGTTCCAGAACAGCCTGAGCAAAAGTGAGACCCCATCTCTACTAAAAGTAGAACAAATTAGCCAGGCATTGTGGTGGTGCCTGTAGTCCCAGCTACTCTGGTGGTTGAGGCAGGAGAATTACTTGAGCCCAAGAGTTTGAGGTTGCTGAGCAATGATGATGCCATCACACTGAACCTTTCTCAAATAATAATAATAATAGTAATAATAATAAAGTCTTTTATTGGTTACCACTGATCTATTTTTTATTCAGTTTCTGACCTTCTATAATTTTTTTTCCTCCTCTTTTTCTTGGATTTAGGATTAATATAAAATTTCCTTTAAGGCAATATCATGAAATTTGCATATGTGGTTTAGAACAATGTTTAGTTTTCTATTTTTGAGAGGAATGTTTAAGAGATATCTTTTAGATTTGGGTGGCTTATAGTGCTCCTTAGGTTTTCTGGTTTTTTTGTTTTGTTTTGTTTTGTTTTTGAGACAGAGCCTCAAGCTGTCCCCCTGAGTAGAGTGCTGTGGCATCACAGCTCACAGCAACCTCCAACTCCTGGACTCAAGCAACTCTCCTGCCTCTGCCTCCCAAGTAGCTGGGACTACAGGTGCCCACCACAACGCCTAGCTATTTTTTTGTTGTAGCCATCATTGTTGTTTGGCGGGCCCAGGCTGGATTCGAACCAATCAGCTCAGGTGTATGTGGCTGGTGCCTTAGCCATTTGAGCCACAGGCGCTGAGCCAGGTTTTCTGTTTTCTTGATGACCCACTGGCTAGTTCTAGCCGTTACTACAAGTGAGTAAGTAGGGTTGAATTGCACACTTTCCCTTTTGGTTGTGTCAATGTTTGCTTCGTGTATGCAGCTCTGTTGTTAGGTGCATATATAGTTATAATTGCTGTATTTTCCTGGTAGATTGACCTTTGTATCATATAAAATGTTTTTTTAGTAACTTTTTCTGCCTGAAAGTCTATTTATCTGACATTGGTAAGGTCACTCCAGTTTTTTTATGGCTCCCTTTGCATGATATGCAAAACAAGAAGAAAAGTCTATGAATATATAGACATATTCAGATCTATATGTGATCTGAATAATTCATAATGTACATGTAAATTATTTATGTTATGATAAATAAAAGCATATCAAAAGAGTGGAGGTATTATTTACTAAATGAAACTAGGACAGTGAATTACTATTTGGAAAAATTTAAGTTACAATTCCAGTTTTATACTATATACTACCAAAATAAATTCTAAGTCAACAAAGACATACCGGGTGGCCATAAAGTTTCTGTGTAATTGGCAGCACCTGTGGCTCAAGGAGTAGGGTGCCAGGCCTATATACCGGAGGTGGTAGGTTCAAACCCAGCCCTGGCCAAAAAAAAAAAAAAACCAGAAACAAGTTTGTGTGCAATTTAAAATAGTTTAACATGGTAAATTGCATACACACTTCATGTCCACTCTGTGTGTTGTGTATATATAAATATTATATATTTTTAATCACAGAGTCTCACTCTGTCACCCTTAGTAGAGTGCCATTACATCTTATCTCAGAGCAACCTCAAACTCTTGGGCTTGATTCTCCTGCCTCAGCCTCCTAAGTAGCTGAGATTATAGGTGTGGGCCATAACTCCCTGCTAGTTTTTTTTATGGAGACAGGGACTTGATCTTTGCTCAGGCTGGTCTTGAACTCCTGAGCTCAGGCAATTCACCTGCCCTGGTCTCCCAGAGTGCTAGGATTACAGGAGCCAGTGATCTGTGCCCAGTCCAAAAGTAAATATTTTTTTAAAAACAAAATAAACGTGGTGCCCATAGCTCAGTGGGTTGGGCACCAGCCACATAAACGGAGGCTGGCAGGTTCAAACCCGGCCCAGGACAGCTAAAACAACAATGACAACTGCAACATAAAAATAGCCAGGCATTATGGCAAGTGCCTGTAGTCCCAGCTACTTGGGAGGCTGAGGGAAGAGAGAATCACTTAAGCCCAAGAGTTGGAGGTTGCTCGTGAGTTGTGACACCATGACACTCTACCCAGGGCGACAGCTGGAGACTCTGTCTCAAACCGCCCCTCCCCCCCAAAATAAAGGTCAATGTATATATAATATTGGGGTGAAAAGACTTCTATGTAAAAATATAAAAAATTACAATCAGAAAAGATAGAAGATTGAAATCACATAGAAATCTAAAATGTGCATATTAAAAAGAAAATTAATATGCAAACTGGGAAAAAAATATATATTTTTGAGACAGTCTCACTTTGTTGCCCCAGGCTAGCGTCATATATATAATGGCATCATCATAGCTCACAGCAACCTCAAACTCTTGGACTCAAGGACTACAGGTGCCTGCCACAATGCCCAACTAATTTTAAACTGCCAAAAATATTTACCACTTAATTGTGCAAAGAACATGAATAGTTAACAGAAGAAATACAAATGGCCTATGAAAAAATATGAAAAGAACTTATATTAGACATACTCAAAGCAATATAAACTAAAACAATCTTTTTTAACTATTCAATGGACAAAGATTTAAAAAGTTATAATGCTCAGTGTTGGCAATGAGACACAAGGCAGGAGATAGTATTATGTTTTGCTGTTAGGAAAAAAATAATATAATCTTACTGGTCTTAAAATTTGAACACAACTATTTCATGTATTTATTTTAATGAAAGAATCATAATATGTTCAAAGAATTAACTCCAGACACATTATAGTTTATCCCTGAATTGAAAAGTATCTAAATGTTCAATAATTGTGTATTAAAGTATAATACATCTATATAATTGAATATTGGGAAGCCCTTAAAAATGTTGTGAAGATTCAATGACATGGAAAGATTAATCATGATTTAATAAATTTTTAGAAGTAGGTTAAGAATGCTATATACAGCTCCGCGCCTATAGCTCAACCAGCTAAGGTGCCAGCCACATACACCTAAGTGGCGGGTTCCAATCCCCAGCCTGGACCGGCCAAACAACAATGACGGATGCAACCAAAAAATAGCCGGGCCTTGTGGTGGGCGCCTGTGGTCCCAGCTACTTGGGAGGCGGAGGCAGGAGACTTGCTTGAGCCCAGGAGTTGGAGGTTGCTGTGAGCTGTGATGCCATAGCACTCTACCCAGGGGGACAGCTTGAGGCTCTGTCTCAAAAAAAAAATAAAAAATAAAAAAGAATGCTATATACAGCATTAACTCTATTAATATCTAATACATATATACAAAGAAAGCTTATCCAGAGGTTAACAGTTTTCTCTGATTGTCAGCATTATGCAGGTTTTTTCATGCTTCCCCCATCTCTGAATTTTCCATGTCTTTTTCTGTATGTATTCAAAATTATACTGCAGGATTTTTATTTGACAAAGATCAGTATATTAAGGGCAGTATCTTAAAAATTATGTGTATGGGCCATTTCGTGGACGCTGGATAAGGAGGAGCAAGTGTGGGAGTCCGGCTAGAGGGGAGCGGGAAGCCGGGCGATCCATCGGAGCGTGAGGACTTGAGCCTCCGCACTTTAACTCTAGATTTCGAAATGCATCATGATTCCTGTCCATTGGACTGTAAGGTTTATGTAGGTAATCTTGGAAACAATGGCAATAAGACTGAATTGGAAGGGGCTTTTGGCTATTATGGACCACTCCGAAGCGTGTGGGTTGCTAGAAACCCTCCCGGCTTTGCTTTTGTTGAATTTGAAGATCCTCGAGATGCAGCCGATGCTGTCCGAGAGCTAGATGGAAGGACACTGTGGGGCTGCCGTGGGAGAGTGGAACTGTCCGATGGTGAAAAGAGAAGTAGAAATCGTGGCCCACCTCCCTCTTGGGGTCGTCGCCCTCGAGATGATTATCGTAGGAGGAGTCCTCCACCTCGCCGCAGATCTCCAAGGAGGAGAAGCTTCTCTGGCAGCCGGAGCAGGTCCCTTTCCCGAGATAGAAGAGAGAGAGATCATTGTCTCGGGAGAGAAATCATAAGCCCTCCCGATCCTTCTCTAGGTCTCGAAGCCGATCTAGGTCGAATGAAAGGAAATAGAAGACCAGTTTGCAAGAGAAGTGGTGCACAGGAGATAACTTCATTTGACAGAAGTATGTACAGAAATTTCAAGTTTTGTTTGAGACTTCATAAGCTTGGTGCATTTTTAAGATGTTTTAGCTGTTCAAATTTGTCTGTCTCTTGGAACAGTGACACAAAAAGTATAATTCTCTATGGTTTGAAATGGATCATATGAGGCATGTAACACCAAGAATTGTTACTTTACAATGTTCCCTTAAGCAAAATTGAATTTGCTTTGAATTTCAGTTTTGCATAGACTGATAATAAACCTCTAAATCCTGCCCAGCTAAAGTGTGATTTTTTTTTTTTTATATACGTAGAAACAAAACTGGCAAAAATTGAATGAAGATTTACTTCCCCCCACGATGTCTGGGATATTATATGCAACTTTAGTTGAACAGTCTTTATAAAGCTGCTGTGAAACAAGCCAGCAGCTACATCATTGTACTAAATTAGAGGTTTATGAAAAATCAACTAGTTTTCACCCTGGGCAGAGACTGCCTACTTAACTATAGAATCTGATAAATTCTAAGAAAGCTTACCTTTGCTTTAGGTTCATAAGTTCCTTTGTAATAGTTATATATCAAACCCAATGTCCTGCAAGTTTAAGGGTACATTGTAGAGCCGAACTTTTGAGTTACTGTGCAAAAAAAATTTTTTTATGCTGTCATTTGTAATATGTTTTGTGAGAATCCTTCAGATTAAAGTTTTGGTTACAATTGTTTAAAAAAAAAATTATGTGTATGGCTTAGTGCCTATAACTCAGCAGCTAGGGCGCCAGCCAGCGGGTGGGTTCAAATCCAGCCTGGGCCTGCCAAACAACAATGACAACTACAACCAAAAAATAGTTGGGCATTGTGGTGGGCGCCTGTAGTCCCAGCTACTGGGGAGACTGAGGCAAGAGAATCACTTAAGCCCAAGAGTTTGAGGTTGCTGTGAGCTGTAACAGCATGGCACTCTACTGAGGGTGATGTAGAGAAACTCTGTCTCAAATTAAATAAATAAAAATTATGTGTTATAATAATGCTGACTTAATTATAGGAATGAATTGTATTGGTTTCCTAGTGCTACCATAATAGATGATCACAAACCAGGCATCTTAAAACAACAGAAATTACCCCACAGTTCAGGCCAGAAATCCAAAATATAGCTACTGGTCACATTCTTAGGTTCTGGGTTCATGAGTTTTAACCCCCTACATATAACAAAGATATACAAAAGTTGGATGTAGTACTTGTCAATGGTGTTTATTTATGGGTGAACTTATGGATAATTTAAGTATGTGCTTTTCTGCATTTTAAAATGAATAGCTATGTACTGAAATTCCATTTATATTGAGATGGTAAATTCACTGTGTAGGGTTAATATTATGTGTCGTCAAAAACCACCTTTTCTGCATATGCTCACAAAATACAGAATCAATCATTTATATTTCTTCCTCCAGCACCAGAATAGATTCCTATTCCCATTCCAGTAAGTGAGTGGTAGATGAAGTCGCTGGCTTGTGTTTATATGCTGTTGTACAAAAGATTTTCTAAAGATGAAAACATAGCTAAATGTGTTCAAAGTAAATGTGTATATGATGAGACTTCACTTTCGTAATTAGAAGAAAAACTATTTTCTTTAATGTCTGCCAAAATCATTAGCAATGATGGCAATGACTTAGGAAAAACTCTCTTAACACCAAGGGAAAAATAATTATTGATTTCCAAAATAGACTTCTTGGAGGGTAGGTATGTCCCCGAGTTTTTCTGGATTTTTTTTTTTAAATTAAGACAGAGTCTCACTTTATCACCTTCAGTAGAGTGCTGTGGTGTCATAGCTCATAGCAACCTTAAACTCTTGGGCTTAAATGATTCTCTTGCCTCAGGCACCCAAGTAGTTGGGACTATGGGCTCTTTCTGGAATTTTTTTTTTTTTTTTTTGAGACAGAGTCTCAAGCTGTCGCCCTGGGTAAGAGTGCTATGGTGTCACAGCTTATAGCAACCTCCAACTCTTGGGCTTAAGCGATTCTCTTGCCTCAGCCTCTCAAGTAGCTGGCACCCATCACGACACCTACCTATTTTTTGGTTGTAGTTGTCATTGTTGTTTGGCAGGCTAGATTCAAACCTGCCAGCTCTAGTGTATGTGGCTGGCACCCTAGCCGCTGAGCTACAGGTGCTGAACCTCTTTCTGGATTTTTTAAAGGTCCAGAAAAAAACTTAATAAAATAATATATATTGTTTGGCATGGGGTAGAGATTGGAGTTTAATAATTTGAATTCCAACAAGAAACATTTTCCATTTTTTGCAACCATGAGTGTCAATGGGTCAACAATGAAATTAAATCAAACCCCCCATATTAGCAACATTTAAAATGACATTGTGGGCCAGGTCCAGTGGCTCATGCCTAGGAGGTGGAGCTGAGAGGATTGCTTGAGGCCTGCAGTTCAAGACTAGCCTGAGCTAGAGGAATACTCTGTCTCTACAAAAAATAGAAAAATTGACCAGGCATGGTGGTACATGCCTGTAGTCTCAGCTACCCCGGAGGCTGTGGTCAGGAGAACCATTTGAGCCTAGACGTTTAAGGTTACAGTGAGCGATGAAGATGCCATTGCATTCTAGCCTGGGCAAACTGAATTGAGATTCTGTCTGGGGGCAGGGGGGTAAGTGAATATAACTGTAGTTAGTTAATTTCTCTGTTCTTTTCTCTTTTTTTTAGACAGAGTCTTGCTATGTTGCCCTTGGTAGAGTGGATGGTGTCACAGCTCACAGCAACCTCTTAACTCTTGGGCTTAAGCGATTCTCTTTGCCTCAGCCTCCCAAGTAGCTGGGATACAGGTGCCCACCACAAGGCCTGGCTATGTTTTTGTTGTAGTTGTCATTGTTATTTAGCAGGCCCAGGCCGGGTTCAAACCTGCCAGCCCCGGTGTATGTCAAGCCTTACAGGCAGTGAGGCTTAATTTCTGTTTTAAAAATATTCTTCCAAAGTACACTTTCCTTTTAATGATTTATGACTATAGTTTTTTTTTATAACTAAATTATATTATCAAATTCAACTTAAAAAGTATTGTCATGTACAGAGGCTGACATCATGGGTAGTCAAAGAATATGTTTAATAAAAAATAATTAAACTTCCATTTGCTCTATAGAACATCATAGAAAGTAATTTAATAAATTACAAATGACTTTAAGACGTTTGCTCAACTACAGAAAGCAAATTCAGACTACACAAAACACAACTGGTAAATATTGCAAATGTCCAAAAGAAAAATTGGACTAAGACTTGAATCATGAAACCTGAAACAAGGGCTATAAATACAAGGCAATAACAGCTATAATTCTTTTAGTAACTACCAACACATACTTGGATATCCTTTCAACTGCAACTTTAGTATTATGTAATTCTACTGATTTTTTTTTTCCTTATAACCCTTAACTTTACACGACCATATTTGCATGTTTTTTTCTTAGCTGATAACTGGACGACTTTTCCCCAATCAATACTAAATAGAAGTATCTTGAAACCTAAGAGAATGTTTAAAGTTAATACTAGACTCAATGCTTTGAAAACTGTAATTGCCTTATTACATAGAAAGAGAATTACTAGGATGTTAACCAAATTCATTCGACCATAATTAGGAAAATACTTTATCTCATAAATTTGATATAAATTAGATTTTAGTGATAAGATCTAGAGTTTTTTTTTCCTTTTTTATTTAATTGGGGAAAGAAAGGAATAAAGATCATGTGGGTAGAACTAAAGGGAAGAAGAGAAATATGGATGGTTGAAATACTCCACTGGCAAACTAAGTTAACTGTGTTTGAAAACTTTGGCTATCTCGTAAGTGTATTCTAGTTAAACAAAAGTGCAATACTGCAAAGGGAAGAGACTAATATGGAATACATTGTTTTCATGATGAAGAATTACTACCCACTTCTCCTGGATGGGCATCATAGTGACTATTGCTAAGACATTGCATAAAGGACTATCAATTCAAAGTACTATTTTGGGAAAATACAAAATCAATACAATCCCAATGGAACTTATATAATTTTGTAAATACATATAACACTGTCTCTCTAATAAGGGGTTAGTTATTTTACATACAGAAACATAATTTACTGGTAAAGGTCTTGGAAAACCTAACACAATTGCTTAGTTCATGACAAAGCAACAGTCAAAACATACTGCAAATTACTTTTTCTGGAGGAGAGAAACGGGGTACTTTCCCCCACTAAATTTATTCTCTTATAAAAGTTACCACCGATTCATTTTGAGTACCAGAGAAAATGGTAACATTTATCTCTCCATAGGATGTAAATATTTTTATGTCTAATTCAGTTCCAGTTGTTTTAAATGTGTATGAAGGTGAACCTGGACCTCTACCGTGTCAGAATAATAGCAGCTTTAGCAGGAGAAATTGTATCACAAACCAATTATTGGACAAATTTTACATGGTAAAGGGTTCTAAGAAATTGAACAGAAGCCGTGGGCTTCATTTTTGTGGTTTACAGGTATATCTTGTACATCTTTTTGAGATTATTCAAAGTGCATTTCAAAATGGGAAACTCAGTATATTTAATATAAACTGATGACCCAACACTGATTCTGGGCAACATTTAGTCTGCTTATACCTAGAAACTCAAAATGAATTTAGACAATCTGCATATTACTTTACCACTGTTTGTTCATTTTGGAACATTTCCATGACATAAAACACAAATAGAAATCTACACAAATAAAGCAAACAACAATTTCTTTTACATGAAGTATGCTGTGCTGAAAGTTCTTTTCAGTGGCATTTCATGAGTTTGCCTTTTCTGAACCCTGGAAACAGACATTACTCATCAGAGACATAATTGTTTCTAATAGGAGGCCAAACTTTGAAAAGTTAAAACTATGTCTATAGGGTGCCAAAGTCACTTGACACAGGATAATTTTATGACTCAATTTTACTGATATCCGAGTTCAGCTCAGCAAAAAGCAAGTCATATTTCTTGCCAGATTAACATGATATATAGGATGTGTTTAAAAAACCCCTGAAAACAAGTATA